TGTCTTTTTAAATTCCAAACGAAACAATTGTTTGCATTAAATTATAAAAAATAATAGTAAAATATCAAAAATCGTATTTTATACATAAAGTGAGATAATTTAATTTATCGCTCATTAATCCTTTAATTTTAATGAGTTTATTTTAATAAATTTAGGATATATGTACCTATACCCTACATAATATCAAAAACTTATTAAAAATTATAGTAAATTGTATTAAAAATTGTATCTTGATAGTAATGTTATATCTTTATGTTGGATTAAAATTAAGATAATTGTTTACTAAAAACATTTACGAATTTTAATCAATTTAATTTGCAAGAGGTAGAAATACGTGATGTTTTAAAGCTTCCACAAGAAGAGATTAAATTCATAAATGTTCTGAATATAAAATTTCCGACGATATATTTTCAAATATGCGAAGCAAGTCACATTACTAATAAAGTCACATGAGGTTATTTATGATTTTATGATACGTGATTGATTTATTTTTACAATCTTCCATAGATGTCAAACGTTATCTACTTTCGCTCGACAGAATCTTGATAGCGGCAGTATTTGAAAATCAGGTTACACGTAAGGCAGCATGCAACGAATATTTTAAGATACGACCAACCTTAAAATATTCGTTGAAAAAGAGACAAATAGCTTCTGGATTAACAACATGTATCTACTCTAGCTGTTTTTGTCAGCTTGGAAAGAGTATACGCATTCCATCGTGACACCTCATCTAACACTCAAAGCATACATCTATATTTTATCATACTTGATTTTGACGTGGATGTACTTTTTGCTGTCTCTAAAGTGTCACGAGATATTTCACATCGTATATGAATCATAATATCGACTATATGGAATCAGTCTCCTGTGACTGTTCTGATCTCAATACAGGATTATATCATCACTGAACAATCCTATACACGATAATAACTCTTAATCATGTGTAAGCTACAATTTTTACCACGAAACTTTCTACGATATGTCACGAGATATAACTCTTGTTTTCACTAAATATATATTTATTTTATCTCAAGTACACGGAAGAAGGCTTTTGCTGAAGCATCTAAAAATTTATTAGCTAGATACAGATTTAAAAATAATTTTATTGGGGTATGTTAAGTTGGCACCCCAACTATAGTACTCAGGAGCTCGGATTAGAGTTCCCACTTCCTTTTGACGAGACGAAGAGTTCCCTATAGTTAATAACAAGAGTTCCGCTCAATAAACATTTTTTTTACATTTTTAAAAAATGAGGTGCTAACTTTTTATCGAATTTCGAGGTGGAATAGTTCTGAGCGGCTTAATAGCTTCAATTTGCGATTGCCTAGAGTTCCTGATATGTAAAAAAAATTTTCGAATATTAAAAAAAAATTAAAAATTTTTGAAAAATTAATTTTTAGATACAATAGTTCTGATGATAATTCCTGCTTCTTTTTGACGATACGAAGAGTTCTCTATGATTTTTAATGGCATATGCGCTTAATATCATTTTTTAATAATTTTTAAAAAATGGGGTGCTTACTTTTTAACGAAATTCAAGGTCACATAGTTCTGATCAGCTTAACAGAACTATTTTGTGAATACCTAGAGTTCTTGATACATAAAAAACATTTTTGAAGAATAATAAAGTTTAAAAAAAATAATAGAAATCTTCGAAAATTTTTTTGAGAGTACCGAGTAGTTCTGAGTAGCGTTTCGTATAGTACTCGACGAGTTCTATCGAAAACTGTAAGGTGAAAAAGCGATTGGACCAACGGTTTGTAAGATACAGCAACATTTGTTACATCTGTAAGATCATACAATTTTTAAATGAGTATATCTCGGAAACCATTGGTCCAATCGCTTTGAGCTCTGATACTTTTCGACAGAACTCATCGAGATCTGTCCAGAACTTCGAACAGAACTACTCGGTACTCCCAAAAAATTTTCCGACGTGGGACTTAAAAAAAAATTTTTGGTCAAAAATTTTTTGGGAGTACCGAGTAGTTCTGTTCGGACAGTTCTCGACGAGTTCTGTCGAAAAGTATGAGGGCTCAAAGCGATTGGACCAACGGTTTCTGAGATATACTCTAAAAATTGTTGATTTTCTGACAAATGTCGTTGTATCTTGCAAACTGTTGGTCCAATCGCTTTTTCACCTTACAGTTTTCGATAGAACTCATCGAGAACTATAAGAAACGCTACTCAGAACTACTCGGTACTCTCAAAAAATTTTCCGACGTGGGACTTGGAAAAAAATTTGAAGTTAAAATTTTTTTGGAGTACCGAGTAGTTCTGATCGGAGCTCTGGACAGTTCTCGGCGAGTTCTGTAGAAAAGTATCAGGGCTCAAAGCGATTGGACCAACGGTTTCCGAGATATACTCACTTTAAAAATTATTGATCTTCTAACAAATGTCGCTGTATCTTGCAAACCGTTGGTCTAATCGCTTTTCCACCTTACAGTTTTCGATAGAACTTGTCGAATACTATAAGAAACGCAACTCAGAACTACTCGGTACTCTCAAAAAAATTTTCAAAGATTTCTATTTTTTTTAAACTTTATTATTCTTCAAAAATGTTTTTTATGTATCAAGAACTCTAGGTATTCACAAAATACTTCTGTTAAGCTGATCAGAACTATGCGACCTTGAATTTCGTTAAAAAGTTAGCACCCCATTTAAAAAAAATTATTAAAAAATGATTATTAAGCGCATATGTCATTAAAAATCATAGAGAACTCTTTGTATCGTCAAAAAGAAGCAGAAATTATCATCAGAACTATTGTATCTAAAAATTAATTTTTCAAAAATTTTTAATTTTTTTTTAATATTCGAAAATTTTTTTTACATATCAGGAACTCTAGGCAATCGCAAATTGAAGCTATTAAGCCGCTCAGAACTATTCCACCTTGAAATTCGATAAAAAGTTAGCACCCCATTTTTAAAAAATGTAAAAAAAATGTTTATTGAGCGGAACTCTTATTATTTACTATAGGGAACTCTTCGTCTCGTCAAAAGGAAGCGGGAACTCTAATCAGAACTCCTGAGTACTATAGTTGGGGTACTAACTTAACATACCCATTTTATTGCATCATTAAAATAATTATATAGAACACTCAAGTTATTCGCTAGAATGTCAAAACTTTTTGCCGCATATATATTTTCAGATCCAGATATTTTGTGTTCAGCTAAATTTTCTGTAAAATCGTTCTTTTTGTGTACAAACGCAGAACAAAAAGTGCACGTTAATTCAGTTACAAAAAATAAAATAACAAAATAAGTTTAAAAGATATTGTTAACCGATTCAACTTACAGTGTATGCACATTTTTGTTCAATTTATCTCTCATCGAGTTTGCGCAATAAAAACGTGCTATTACTGTTAGTTTAACATTTCTTTAAATATAATAACATCAGGATGAATCTCACAATATTGTAATATAATATTATGAGATAATCACTTGATCATTAGTCATTATACAGTTTACTGGTATGACAATTCGAACAATCAACGTTGACATATCCATCTGTTTAGATTTGTTTCTATGATTAGCATTATATATAGTCTATTCGAAATATTCAGAATATCTCATTATGAAGTACATATATCGTACATCATCCGTCTATCTACGATTACTAACGGCGAATGATTGAAAAATCGAATCTCTCGCGGTCGGAAGAGATGTCCTCGTTATTAAGTTTCATTTCGCGGAACGAGATATTGGACGATAGCCGGAGGAAGAAATCAATGGTCACTCCCTTATCTTCGTCATGACTGACTCATCCACATGTCCGTCTTACCTGGTCGAATCAATTTCCTGGCTGTATCGCGAAGGGTCGGGGCGATCGTTTTATAGGACTTCCTTCGTTGTCTAAGATATCTCAGAAATTTATACCTTGCCACCCGGATCGTTTTACGATCAATTACCGAGGGCGAATTACTAATCGGTGGCGGCGGTGGCCAATACTGAAATTAATTAACTTAGTAACGATAAATAGTAGTATTTATGAATAACTCAATTATGTCTAGCGCGAACTTGCTCGTTTACATATTTCTGCAGGCTAATAATATTAATAACGCGTAAATTAATGATGTGTAACGGATATTGTGCATTTGTGGTGTGTATTTATTTTTATCCGTTTATACGATTAATTGATACATGATGAAACGTGTTATCAAAATCGGAAATGTAAACAGACGCTTAACTTTACAACTTGCCACAAACAAAAAAAAAACACCTAAATCTACTTTCCCTTTTCTTGCGTTTCTTTTTTCACTTAAAACTTAATATATAAAAATTTTAAGAACTTTAAATTTTATCAAAAGTCAAGAAATTTTCAATTATTTATTTTTTATATAAAAACATTGTAAGTCTTGCTATAATTTAAAGGTTTTTTGTAAGTTCTATATTAAGTATTTTACATTATTGAGCAACTAAGTTATTGATATTCGATTGAAATTCTTCACAGTTACTCTTTGAAATATTTAAATTCTGGTACGCAAAAGTAATCGATAAAGAAGAAATAGAATTAATAATAAAGAAATATTAAGATTCGAGAAATTTGAGAAACTAAAAATTTATTTTACAAATAAAACTAGCAAAAAATTTCAATAGAAAAATAATTGTTTATGAAACTCTCTTCTCTCTCTCTTCTTGAGTTTTGCACGTTTCTGAAAATAAGTAAATAAGAATTCTAATATAAAATTATTATAGTATTTGTGAAATGTATGAACCGTGAAAATCTAAAATGATTTTGTTTTCTTAATTCTTTTAATTTAGAAATTGTATTTTCTTAAACAAATTTTCTATACATATAGTACATATAAATACTTTGCTTTGGATATGTATACATAAAAATATAATGTAAAATTCAGTAATGAAAAAATAAAAATTTCTGAAGTTTTTTTTAAAAGCGAAGTCTTTTTATTTATTAAATTAGATTCGTATATCTTTATATATTAAAAATGTTATTATATATATTCTAAATTACTTCTTTAAATTAACGATAGATTTTTTTGTAGGTACCCGGCACTTTCACGAAAGAATCGTAAAGGAGAAACGGATGATTGCAACGAGCTCTCAATTAAAGAAATGGATACGGTAATTACTAAGCCGCGTCGGCGACTAGGAATACGGGCCAATTCGGCGCGTTAAATGCTCCCTCGGCGATTCACGTTCCAGCCGGGGCTCTTGCGGATCTGGGATGGCCTTTTGGGAGCAAAAGCGGCAAGAGCAGCAGCAACAACAGCAGCAGCAGCAGCAACAGCGATATCGGATCAAACTCAGTTAACAAGCCCGTGTCGTCGCTGTATCGGTCGCGCAAGTAGATAGATTTTAAATCGAGTCAACTGTGGGACAACGGTAACAAAGTTAGTACGGCAAAATAATCCAGGGGCGATTGACTCGCGTATTCCATATATAATGAAAGCACATGAGACGAGACGACGGTAGTGGACCCCAAGGATGGTGGATGCTGCGAGGAAGAAATTGAATTCTGTTTTTACACTCCGCCTAATCGCTCGACACATCGCAGTGTCAAGGGAGATTCTATTTGACGCAGAACACTGAAAAATGTAGATACAAGTATAGTTACAAAGAAGACACTATTAACCCCATCCTACCCCATCGAAACCTTTCGTGTGTATCGACAGTATCCACAATCGCGAAAGTATAGGCTATAAAATATAACGCTACGCGCCAACGTCGAAGGGAAACGTATCGGATGTCGCAAGAAAAGGGAATAATACGGTGAGAGGACCTAGAAACGATCTCAGGAATGTGACGTGGCAAAATTTCGAGTGAGAAAATCAGTTTCTTCGAACGGAAATCGTGGAACGAGAGAAAGGGAGGAACTTATGAAATAATAGATCGACATACGGGATCGACAAAGACTCGTCCCAACAAGTGTCCTTACGGATTCAAAAGTTTCCTGCCCGCTATCGTCTTCGTCGCGAAGCGGCGTTGACTGTGTTATGGAATGAATCGATGCCCGGACTGGGCATCTAAGTGTCCACGATCGTCATCTTCAATACGAACATCATGACCCTGATAATGCGGCTGCTCCTCCTATTCGCTCTGGTGGCCATACAATTCTGCTCGACCGTCTGCTTGGCGGTCAGCGATGATGAAGCTAATGGCCCGATCTTCGATCTGGATCATGGTGCTCTGGAAAAGAACTTAGCGGCAATCTTCAACAAGGTGGCACATAGTTTTGCGACCACGAAGCGCAGTGTGCCAGCATACGATGCTCAAGTGTCGGCTAGCACAACGTTTTCGACAGTACCATCGCCAGTAACCACCAGTATGTTCATCAGTACAACCACCATTAGCCCGTCGATTACCGGACCCGCTATTAAGTATCCGGCGCCACGGGCCACAGCATCGCCCGTCTTTCGGGATCTGCCGTCGTACGCGCCGCCTTCTAGAGCACTCTTCACGCCACCCCTGCCGCCGGAGTACCTGCACCCATTCGCCGATAAACCCACACTGCGAGGTACCAACTCGGACGTGCATACCAACAACAGGAGGCCGGTACCGCCACCGAGCTTGACGCCAGCGCACGAACGGATACCTATCCGACCGCCGGATCTACCTCAAAGTCCTTCTCAGATGCCAGAGAGGCATCATTCTCACACGAAGATCAAACCGGCAAATGTGCCCGACAGTAGAGAGCAGAGGCCCGTGGAATCTGGTGAGACCGATCGAAAGAACGGCACGAACGATCCTTCGTTCGTAACTCTTCATTACCCCAGTATTTCTAGGATCTTGTCTGGCAGCAACGGCAGAAAACAGGATATCCCTGATATATTGTTAAAGCCCTTAGCTACGAAAAGTCCATTGCTGCCGAATATTCCTCCTGCCCCTACCACCGATAAAACTACGTCGCCACCAAGCACCATGACACCGAAAGCGCCCGGCAATACCATGGGTCCTTCGAAGATCGCCGTCACACAGCCGACGATCTTCAACCTACCAAACACTGGTCGACAGGACGACGACGGCTATCATCACGGCCTGAGGAACGAACACGATACTGATAGTATCGAAATAGTGGATACCGAGAGATTACCGTATCCACAAGCGCAGCCACCAGCTCCAACGCCAAAGCAACCAGCAAGTGTCGACGACGACGACGATGACGATGATGACAACGACGACAACGGTGGCGGTGGTGGCGGCGGCGACGGCAGCAGCGGTGGCGACCGTTTGATACCACACGTCGACACGCATCCACTTGAGTCTACGTGGCGGATCGCCTGGTCGCTACACGTATACGTCGCGGCGATTATGTTTACGCTCATGGCCTTGTATTCGATCTATAAGATCGTGCGTTTCAACGAGGCAACGAATCTACTTACGCAATCGTACTTCCTAGCCGTTCATCTACTGTTGACTACAATCTGCACTTTGAGGTGCTTTCACCTTTTTTACGACGCTTACAATCTGGGACATTCGCTGCCGGAATCATTGTCTAGAGTGCTAATGTACCTGCCGGCACCACTCTTGTCTACGGCGTTCGCCACTCTGATGTTGTACCTTGCCCGGTGCTCGGAAGCACCTTCGCTTAACAACAACATCCTCTCGCCTATTACGCTTGTATTTTCATCCACGGTGCACATTATACTATGCGTATCCTTGCACGTGTCCGCGCACATGCTCGGCTATCAGGACGAGGCGAGAATCCTACCGCTCATCTGCCGGTGTATTTACATCATCGTCTGCATCACCCTAGGTCTATGCTACATGTACGTGTACCGCGTGGTGCGTTCGCAGATTCATCTGGCCAGCAATAAAGCAGCCGGCGCAAATCACATGATGGGCGCCGATCCTACTACGGTGGCTCTCAGCACTGCCATCACCACCACTATTGCCACCGCTCTGTTGTTCATCCTCATGGGCCTCGTGCAGCTTTACGGCGTATTCGGCGTTCAGGAGCGTCCGCAACAATTTCCATGGCTCTGGTGGGGTTGGCAGTTCTCTGTCAGATTACTAGAACTATCCGTTTGTGGTCTCCTAGCCTGGGTTGCCAGCCTATCTCAATATACGTTGCGCGAGAAACAGATGCAGCAACATTCGGCACACTCAGGCTTCGCTCTGTTCCCCTGCGGCAGTTCCACCTCTACAGAAAACATGGACGATGTACTCTACCCCGCCATATGTAGTACCAACCAAGCGATTCAAAATTATACTATGAGAACGGGAAAACAAGTTTACGACGACAGTTTTCCATTGAATACATTGCCCGAGCATTTGAACATATCAGGTAAAAAAAATTATAACATCTCATATTTCTCATTAACAATCTATTTATAATTAATTAAATGTTCAAAATTTACTTCTTATTCTAAATCTAAAAAAAAAACTGACATATTAATTATCGGACTATTTAATATAACTGTTACTTAATTTGTAGACATTAATGATTGTTTGTTGTGCAGGTACCTTTGAGAGACATTCCATCCGTAAGTCAGGTACAATGGGCCACTTTCCTCACGAAGGTCGGGGTTCCTTGAGTCGTCATGGAAACGGTATACAAACCCTAAGGAACTCAGAGACTCGCGGGAGGCATACGCCTGTACAAGGCCTACACGAACAAGCTCCAACCAGCGGCTCGACGATGCTAGTCGCCGAGGACGGCTTTGTTAGGTTCCGGAGTCTTGGTGCGGAGGACGATGAGTTGTCCGATACGCAGAGCATGGTCGGCACTCACGGCAGGGGAAGTTCGCTCGCCGGTAGTGTTAGATATAACGCGAGGCATCCCACAGTACAGCATCAGCACCCCCATCAGCACCAACACACGCTGCAACACTCGCATCCGAGTCAGCATCAAACCCACCATCAACTTTATAACAACACATAAAGGCTGTGCCAACGCGATGACTAGAACGTGATTCTTGTTAACTCGGTAGGCATAACGAGAAATCAATTGTTTATTATTTTAATGAAAAATATTTAAAAATAAATAAAATGATAAGTTACTTAAATGTTGTGATGTTAAAATCACAATATTAGCAAAGAGTTTTTTATGACAAATAAAGTTTGAGAGATAGATATAAATAATAAAATTTTAAATTATTTATCTTTATAATTGATGTAATATAATTGGTGTTCTTTGCAGACGTAACGATTGTCGTCGATGAAACATAGGATATATCGACGCGCGAGAATCGTCGCCCTCGCAAACTTCGGTCTAAACTAATTTTATCTCGTACTCTATGTAAGATATGTCCTGTGTATAGACAACCTAATTGCCATTCCTGCTCTCCCGCTTTGCATCGACGTCCGAGCCAAGCCTCTGCCGTACGATATCTATACATATTTATTTTGATCCTCGATAAGCAAGTAAAAGTATACGGCGAACTCGTTTGGGGTTCCTCTACCTACTTGTGGGTAGTTCAGGGTATATTGAAACTTGATCTTATATTAGGCACTTGGTACTTATTAAGATTCATGTGATTGAAAAAAATAAAGAAATAATGTGTCTCACTGAAGTATATAGAAAAATGCTTCTCTCTCGGTTTTATGTTCACTGTTAGTACCGAACACGGCTGTGGAACGTATTGGAAGAACAAATGATTTTAAATTTAGTTCTAATGTCACACAAGGAATTCCGACATATTTTAGCAAATACACTGCTATTTATTCGCTGCCACGTTATAAAAGACTTCGGTGTTATATATATTGTCTCAGCAGTTTTTATAAGATTCATTATTTTACATACTCGTATATACGTTAAATCATTTTTTAATTGGTACTTGTTCTTCTTTGAATTTATTATGACGAAAATTCGACATAAAGTCAGCTTTGCGATCAGCAGGAAGTATATTTTTTACAAAAAAATTGTACGCGAGGTCCAAACACTCAACTGGGGAAAACAATTACGATTCTCATTCAGGTATTCCGAGATTAGGATATGATTGTGTCAAGCTGAAAGCGATGTTTGTACAGTCGATGATAATTTATCACTCAGTCCAATTGTACGATTTAGTTAGCGGCTAAGACTAGATTAAGAAAATTGCGGGTTACGTTAAGTTTAGCCATTAAGTTAGGCAAAACGCGACTAATGTCAACAGGTTTACATTTAATAAATCGAAGGAGAATAAGGAAGACGTAAAAAAATACTATTACCGATTTAGAATAGATGACATAAGTGCGATTTAATGTCATACACACACACAGGCCAGCATTTTATTTTATTTTTCAGATTCTAAGGTACAAAATAGTACTTTTTACCTTTCACTTCGTATATCGATAGGTCGCAATGTATATGTTTATATATGGACATTGTAAATAAGGTATACGGGCTCGTCGTGAGTGAATTTACTGTTACGATGGAATCCGATTGGATTCTATTCGAGATATTGGAATTTATACATTCTTGGTTGTATAAAAAAGATACAAGACTTGTATTTTAATTTATGTCAGAAGCTGTATTTATTATGTGAAACATTCCACAACAAGTGATCAGTGTGAGTGCGCGATCGATTTGTGTGGGATTTTATTGCAATTATAAATTTATCTAGGCGCTAAACAAAACGGAACAAATGTAAATAAAAGCTTTTTTGCGAAGCCTTACGTTTGTCTTACTTTTGAATGCGATTTTAGTCATTCTAGATGCAGTAAATGTATGTAAAACATACTCCTGATTTTACATTTTTATAAAAAATGAATTTTAGTTGGAATATACCTTCACACGAATTGTTATGTTCACATTATTAATTTATATCAGAATAGCATAATTTAGATAAATTTAACAAGAGTTCTGTCAGAGTTTATAATTTGACATGCATTACGCAAAAATGTTCCCAAATTTAGGTTTCCTATAAACAAATTTTATATTGTAATATATAAATATAATGTGTTAGTTAAGTATGTATTTAAATGATTTTGTTTTATTACACCATTTCGTTTAAATTCTTCATAAATGTTATTTTATTTTCAGAGATTATTTATTAATATTATATTTTAGATATTTTTTATTTACATATTGATAAATATATTTTATATTTCATATAAGATGTTTACATGAGACAACGAATAACATCACATTGATTTCTTTCAAAATCTATTAAAATTTGAGATTTTGGTAAGTATATTTTATAAAAATATATAACTCTTATTTTAATGGAATATTAATATCAAACATATAAAATACGAATTAAAATATCTACTAATCAATGAATTAGATATTTTGCGGACTTTATACCAGGAAGTTTTTTATAATGTTGCTGATATCAGAAATGTAGTGCATTTGTACTTAATGTTTTGTATCTTTATCAAACTCTGATAAAGCACAAGATAAGTTATATAAAGCAGAGTGCGTGTAGTATCATTACTAATTTAGTTTGCTCATAATTCGTCAATTTATTGACTTATAATAATCCTTCGCATATTGCTATAAATAGATAGTGAAATATTTAACGTATAAAATAATAGTAAACTGTTAATTATAATAACGAAAAAAGAATGAGTTTGAATGAAAAGTGTGTTACATTAAATGAAGTGAACAACAAGTTCACAGAAGATGTGCTAATAAATATTCTATCTAAAATATGCAATGGAAAAGAAGTGCAGTTGACAGATTGGAGTTTCAACGAGGGATCTGCCAAAGGTGATAATTATTTGTCAAATGTCTACAAAGGTAAAGTAAATGGCATTATCGATGGCGATCCAAAGCAACATGTGCAAGCGAATATTATCGTAAAATCAATGCCAAAAAATCCTGGAACACGGAAGACTCTCAGATGTGCAGACTTTTTCAGTAATGAAATCGCTTTTTATACGCAAGTAAGATTAGACATTTATATTTCTTTTTCTGAGACCTGTACATCTTTGTTTGAAAAAAATTATATTTATTTGTGTAATCAAATAAATTATTATCTAATTGTTTTACAGATTATTTCCAAATTTGAAAACTTTCTAACAGAAAAAGGACACAGCGATCTATTATGTATACCACGTCATATAATCTCCTCCACAGATAGTGAAAACGGTTTTCTAGTTTTAGAAGATGCTTCTTGCTTAGGATTTTGTTCCATGTCACGACAGAACTGTCTAGATTGGGCAGAATGTTTAGCTGTTTTGAAGACATTGTCCAAATTTCACGCAATCTCATTTGCGTACAAAGATCAAAGAAAGGAAGAGTTTGTAGAAATGACAAATTCTTTAAAAGAAACCTTCTTCGGTCATAAACACTGGGACTGGTACAAAGGATTTCATGTAAGTAACGCGAAATGATAAAATCGATTTTTCTAATAAAAGGATCTTTTTACAGAAAAAAGTGCAAGTTCTAATTAAATATGCATTAACTACCGAATATCCCAACAGCAAAGCTGAGAAACAATACAATTCTTATAAATTCGGTGCTCTCTTTAACAAGTGTACAGAACTGTGTGACAGAAGAGATTCTCCTACATCTATCGTAATAGAGGGTGATTGTTGGGCCCCAAACTTTTTAATTCGCGATGTTGGAAAAAATCAAAAGCAAGCTTTGATGCTAGACTTTCAGCTTGCACGTTGCGCAAGTCCTGTCATAGATCTGTCGTTTCTAATTTATGCTTGCACTCTGAAGTCATTTCGTGATCGGTATTTTGATGAGATGTTAAAAATGTATCACTCTGAGTTGAACAATGCCATTAGATTACTCGGGTCTGATCCAGAAAAACTTTATCCATGGGATTTATTTATGAAAGAGGTAAATAAAAGAGATCGTTTATGATGAATTTTCTCAGGGGAGACAATAATATAATTAATGTGTAATTAATTTCAGGTGAAGGAGCAATTTGTATTTGGTGTGTTTGCTTCACTTGAAGCTATTCCATTATGCCTGATAGATATATCCGATTCATTTACCATAGACACTGCTGTTAAGAGTGATGAAGCAATAGATGTTGGTGACGCGATATCGTTTTCTGATCTTACAACAAACGGAAGACAAAGACTAGCGGATGTGATAGTTCATGCTGTTGAAAAGGGATACATATAACACGAAGGAAGTTTCACTATAACATCATTATTTGCATTTGCTGTAAAATAAAATTAAAACAACTAACAAATGCATTATTTGATGATTCAATATAATAGTGTTTTCATTGATAGAACTGCCCAGATGCGCATTTTTATGCTGTTGTACACAAATCGACATAAAGACGTATGTTTAATAAAGTTATAGAAATCAGTGAAATCTTAAATCATGAAATCTTCAATACATTTTATTGTGCTATTTGATCAAATATACTCTGAGAATTCTAATATTTAAGATGTGTCACTTTTATATTCAAATTAAAGTAGTGTATAACGGTTTAATGTGTACTAAGTGCACACCAGTTCTGCCAATGAAAAACGTAATTTTTCTCCTCTATAAAATACAATATTTTTAGAATGTTATATAAATATTAAAAAGGATCAATAATATTCATTTATATAAATATTAAAAAGGATTAATAATATTCATTTATATAAATATTAAAAAGGATCAATAATATTCATATTCTAGAAATATTGAATTGCGATATACTAATGAATTTTATATTATCAACAATAAATATATACTATATATATGAAGTATTTTTAATTTCTCTAGAAATTCTTATTAATGAAATTAAATTGAAACTGTGTGTGTGATTCTTATTAAAACGACGCAAAGTGTTATTTGATACATAATTCAATATAAATTCCTTGCGACACGCAAATAAAAATCTATATATTATGTACAAATAAATAAAATATTTTTAATTCCTCTAAAGATTTTTATATAGGGGAAAGGTACTTTTAACTATTAATTATTCCTCCTATAATTATTTCCTTTTGATTAAAAATATATTTTTTTTAGAATATACCTTACCGTACAAGCTACAATTTGGTGCCACATCTGTACAAACATGGGTCAACAGAATCTGTTCGTTTTTTTTTCACCTGTTCAGAATATTCAAAAAATCTCAAAAAAATCACTAGCATACTTTCAACTTTCTAGAATAAATATTAAAACTTTATTTTGGAAAATAAGAAAATGTAGTATAATTACTGAAAGATTTATAAGTTATGAAAAAATAACACTTGATTTAAAAAATTATAATTTTTCATAATAAATGAATATAAAGAAATGACTCCATGTTTTGCAGTTTAGATATGAAAGTTTTGAAAAAAAAAAAAATTAGAACTTCGAATTCTACAAAAAGTTGAATTATTTGAGCACATGAATATGAATAATTTTTAACAAGGGACAAATAGAAAAATTAAAATACGTTTTTTTTATTTTATTGTATTAATATGTATTTAAAAAATATATATACAAAATACATATTTATAAATATAAGTTTTATGTTTTACATTTTATACATACATAAGTACGATGGTACTCACAAATTGGTTTTCCACACATAAAACAACATATCCAGGTTTTTCTGTTGAGAGTACTCTTACAATAATAACATCGTTTTCTTTTTTCAAGCTTATGTTTTCTTTTTTCTGATTGTGGTTCTTCTATTTGTAAAATAGCACAAATAGATATTTTTAATCGGTTTTGAATGGTCGCATGTTGTAATCTGTTTTGCATGTATGGACCTGCTAGCATAATTGCCAAGTTTTCTATAAAATTATATCTTTCCGTCACATTATTTATATCATTCAGATTATATAAAATATTGCTGTTAACGACTGCTTGATCAAGCATGCTAAAGAAAAGTCTTATAGTCCACCGCGTCGTTTTTCTACACGTCGAATAGCTTTTGCATAAAAAATCAAAAGTGTCTGTTCCGCCTTTCGTACTATTGTAATAGGAAACTATTTCCGGTTTTTGAGTTGCTAAATCTGTTTTTCCCTTATTTTTATGTAAACTCGATACAAGGCATACAACTTTGTTTTTCTTTGGCGTATAAGATAACAAAGTCATATCGTTTCTATATACATATCGTGCATTACCAACAGAAGCAGATCGACGAAAGACAAGAGGAATTTGACGCTTATTTTTCCGTATTGTACCAACCATTGTCAATGAATACTCATGTTTTATCATATTTATTGATTCAATAGAAGTGAACCAATTGTTGCAAGTAATATTTTTGCCGGTTCCGTGAATCGGAGTTGAAAGCTGCCGCACATAATATGAAGGTACGCTTTCTAATCTTTCGGTTGCAACTTTGCCTGTGTATGGAATCGCATTCAACATATAAAAGGTTTTGGAATCATTTAAACATAAAATTTTTATTCCGTATTTATCAGGTTCTCCTTTGATGTAAACTTTCGCAAAAAACTTTCCTTTAAAACCAAGAAGCTGCTCACCTATAGTACAACTTTGTGAAGGGATATAATATTTCGTACAATTTTTTATGAACTCGTCCCAAATTTCTCTGATGGCCGTCAATCTGTCGGTAGTTTGCCTGTCTTTCCTTGTTGTCTTGTCATCGAAGCGTAAACATGAACTCAGAAAAATAAAACGATTGCGAGTCATGACAGCTCTATACATAGAACAACCGTTTTCTTTCCACATATTTATTGTACTTTTATCTCTATCTTTTTGTAGTCCAGCGAAATATAAAAGGCCGATAAATGCTTTTATTTCAATCAAATCTGTCTTACGATAATAAGACTGACTCGATAAATTGATTAATCTCCGGTTTATTTCCTCATTAGTGTGCTTCACTATAATCTCCAGTAATTCATCCGAAAACAACAAACTCCACATTTCTAATGGCGTTCTCATTTCTCTCGCTTCTTGTTTACATCCAGGTAAATATATAGGAATTGACTTCCTATCTCTCGATTCAGGAGCTTTCGTAAGCCATTTGTAGTTATCTTTTCCGTAAAGATACTGTCTCGGACCATCTGCGCTAGTAGATGGTTGTTGCTCTACTTCCTCCTCAGCACAAGCTTTCTTTGGACTGCATTCATAGTCGTCATCGTAGTCAAGTCCATCCTCTTCGCTTTCGACTTCGGTTTCCGATAATACAAAGTCTTCATCGCTGTCTGTCTCTTCTCCAAAAATATCAACTTCACTTTCTCGTAAAATGGCATGTCTCGTCTTTTCAACTCTCTCCATTTTGTCTAAAAAATAAATAATTCTTTTCAAAACAAAATTTTTTTAAATGAAAACAAACAAAAAATTAATGAAAAAAATTTAGACATTAATTTAGAATAAAAATAGAATATAATGATTTTTTGATACAATTTTAATTTTTCACAAAAAGCACCCTTTGTATATACTTACATGGGTCACGCCAATTTTAATTGTACGCTAGTCATAGGTAGATTGACGGCCGAGGTCGCCTCGCCGCGCACAGGTTATCCCCACCACAAATTTTTTACGGGGAGATAACAAACGCCGGATTCATCAAGCCACATCAAGCTTGCGAGAAACTTGCACGAACAGGAATCGCTCGGTCACTAATTCATTATAGTGACCCATGCTTGTACGGTAAGGGTTGATAATTTTATATATTATATCTACTATGGAGAAAATAATAATTGAATCATATTACTCGTATGCAACTTATATCAGAAGCAATACTTACGCAATATATTTTTAACATTTTATCATTCTTTTTCTTTGCCAGGCAAAGATTTTGGAAAGGTAAGGTCTTGCAAATTTTCAAATTTTCTGGAACGCTATAATCTTTATATTGCGGCGAACGATATGCATAAACATTCCGTCCGTGACTTATCAAAATTCAGAGCATATACCCTTATCAGAATATAATCATAATCACAAGAAAATTTGCAATATCATAGCGGAAGAAAAGTTAATAAGAGACAAAATATGCTAGTATATAAATATTTATACGTCTTAATGGTTTCGCTAACGATCCTAGAAACATGTATTTAATCCAACTTTTCACATAAAAAAACAAAACATTAAAAAAAAAAGAGAGTATCGTCAGTAGTTTTTACGGTCGTATAAGGTACAACAATCTCTTGTCACTTATCAGTTATTCTAAAATCTAAATGAAATTTTCTATGAGAGAATTTTCTCTTATTTCTTCCAGCAATGCGTAAGGTTATGTTTCGCACAGTTTCGCCACAGCTGTATATATCAGGCCTGTTCTTTTTACTGAACTGATGCACAGAGTGCAATAAGTTGAAGTGAAACAGATATACGTTTATTTCACTTCAACTTATTGCGCTGTCAGCACCAGTTCAGACAGTGCAGGCAAAAAGAACAAGCCAACTGTGGTTTCGCGATGCATATCGATGGTAGAACATGCGCACAATTTACTTTACAGTCGACTGCAGTGTCAGAACGTCGATGGAGAGAGACGGACACGAGTGGTTCATGGAGTCCAGTCACATTGAGCTTTATGGCCTTTTGCCGCTGTTTGTACCATTTAATTCGCCCCCTCCACGCGAGCCCGGTTGATTTAACGCATGGCAATATCCTGCTTTGCAATGGAAAATTCCGTTTAACGTCATAGTTCCATACGTGGCAGATCGACAGGGAACGCGAGGGTTTGCTCACGTGTGGATTACAGTATCAACAATCGGGACATCTTTATCACGAGCAACTGCATTAGTGCATTCGCGTGAAAAGAACGATCGACGTAAACACTTCTTGTCCCCCTCCCTCCTTCGACGAGAACTGGATCGCAGAGAAGTGACTTGTGTATATGTAAGTGTGAGCATATATAATTAATCGTGCTGTCAAAAATTGTAGAAGTTGAAGACTACGAAATGATATAAAATGCTTTTGTGTGTGAATTACAGATCGTTTTTATCACGAAGAAAAGGAGATCAAGTGTTATCTAAGAGATACTTGAAGATCACTATAAATCATCCGACGAGATAACAATTACATTATAAATACCGCAACAGTTTCATCAGCTTATTATTTTGCCGTTGCTCACACATTGTTACATTCTTTTAATTTTAATGAAAAATATCTGTTATAAAGGCAAATTTTTATCGACGCATGACTCAGCATAAACGCGCCGTTAAAGTTCTTTAAATTAACATAGATATTAATTTCAATAATATTGCAGTATTTAAATTGAGTATTTTATATTTTCGATCAGATTTCAGTATTTTTAAAAGTATTGTCGAATTTCGTAAATTAATTTATTAATAGATACGAGATTAAAAGAAATCGCGATCATGAGTCAAACCAAAAATCGTATTAATTTGAGCGACGTGAGTGACAAGTTCACAGAAGAGGTGCTGGCAGACATTCTCTGTAAAACAAGTAACGGGAAGAAGGTGCAGTTGACAGACTGGAATTTTGGCGAGGGATTTGCTAAAGGTGATAGCTATCTGTCGACTGTTAACAAGGGTATACTATATGGTGTTATAGACGGACAACAAGTGCAAGTTAATTTCGTTGTAAAGTCAATTCCCAAAAATGTTGGCAGGAGAAAGACTTTCAGGAGCGAAGATTTTTTCGGTAACGAAATCATGTTCTATACAAAGGTAAGATTGTACAAAACTCTTTCTTCTTATGTAATTATACAAATCTATGTATCTTTTGAAAAAAATGGATTCATTATATATAATCAAGTAATAATATAGATATAAAGCTTTTATAAATATAAAACAATTCTCTATAGATTGTCCCCAAGATTGAAAAATTCTTAGCAGAGAAAGGACAAAGCAATCTGCTGCGTATACCACGTTACTTGGCTTCTCACAGGGATGGTGAAAATGATTTTATAGTCTTGGAAGATGTTTCTCCCCTAGGATTTGGACCTGCGTCCAGACAAAGCTGCCTGGACTGGACAGAATGTACAGTAATCTTAGAAGCCTTGGCGAAATTTCATGCAATTTCATTTGCGTACAGAGACCAAAGAAAAGAAGAATTTGTAGAATTAACAAGCCATTTAAAAGAAACCTACTTTGGTGATCATAATTGGAACTGGTACCAAGAATTTCATGTAAGTAATAGCGTTTTTTATTAGCAGAACTAGTGCGTGCGCTCAGTGCATATGAAAGCCGTTATACACTATTCTAATTTGAATGTAAAAATGAGCTATCTCAATTGATAAAATGCTCAATGTAATATTTTATCAAATGGCACACAATAAAATGTATTGAGAATTTCGCGATTTAACTTATTTCTTTTTATTAAACATATATCTTTATGTTGATTTGTGTAAAAACAACGGTTTTAAAGTGCACTGAGCACGCACTAACTCTGCCAAAATGCTATATTACGCGTTACAGTTTTAATATATAATTCTTACTAAAGTATACCTTTGATTACAGAAAAAACTAGTAGATATAGCTAAACATGCATTAATGATGGAATATCCTAACAGTAAAGCTGAAAAGCAATTTAATTCCTATAAATTTGGTACACTCTATGACAAATGCTCAGAATTAATATGTAATGAAGATGCCCCGACGTTTGTTATAGCCGCGGGTGATTGTTGGGCCCCGAACTTTCTAGTACGAAATATTGGGCAAAATAAAAAAGAAGCACTACTACTGGATTTTCAGCTTGCACGTTGCGCTAGTCCTGTTACAGATCTTTCGTTTTTAATTTATTCTTGCACTCAGAAGCCATTTCGAGATCAGTATTATGATGACATATTAAAAGTTTATCACTCCGAGTTGAGCAGTGCCATTAAATCTCTTGGATCTGAACCAGAAAAGATTTATCCGTGGGATTTATTTATGAAAGATGTAAAGTATCTATTTTACGTTAAAATTTTAAACGGAAATTATATTCTAACATTCGATATCAATTGCAGCTGAAGAAAAATTTCATACTTGGATTAGTATTTGCTCTAGAATCTATTCCATTTTGTCTACTGGATCCATCACAATCATTCGATTTAGATGCTATTATCAAAGGCAATGAGGCAGTAAATATTGTTGAAGTATGGACATTATCCAATATTAAAACATCAAGTGGAAGGCAAAGATTAGCAGACGTAATTGTTCATGCAGTTGAGAATGGTTATTTATGAAAAAGGATTTATATGTAATTCAACTTGTTGCGTTATAGAAAATTATAAAGCATGATTATTATTTTAATGAAGTAATGCGTATTATATATATTAGTTACTTTCCATTTACACACAAGTGAAACTGAGTCTGAAGTGAGCTGAGTATAAAATACTCAAATTAATGACGTCACTACTTGCTTACTTTGGTAAAATTATCAAATAACAACACAGGTTTATAACTTCACTTTTAAAGTGAATCTACGAGACTCAATAAAGCACACGGTCTCAATCTTATGCAGTTTGTAGGTAAAAACTCAGTTGAATCTCACTTCTCAGAATGCAAAAGGAACGCGCATTCAACTGAGTTATGACGTCACAAGTGAGAATTATCTGAGAATCGAAATAAATGGAAAGCAACTATTATTATACATATATTATGCATTACTATGTAGTATTGGTACCTATTGTATTAAAGCAAGTATTGCAATAGTATTATTGATATATGTACACAATTAGCAATATATTTAATTAACTTTGTTAAAATTTTACTGTCACATATTTTTCAATAGATATACATATATATATATATATATATATGTGTATATATATACAGTATATCAGAATTATATTCATACGTATATGGAATTAAATTTTATGCGCATGTGCAATTTTTATTAAAAATGTGTAGAATTAAATAAAATATAGACAATTCATGTCTTTTTATATAATTTTAATTACAACAACGTAGATTAATTAAAATATAATCTGTATAAGAGTAGAGAGATATAGCCACCCCTTAACTTTTCTTCTTAGACGATACATATCTAAACTTTTGTGTTATCACATAGTAATATTAACAGGGTGGAGAGTATTGGTAAAAACTTTTGTATTTTTCTTTTTCTGCTTGTTTTTTTACGAAAAGTACATCTATTGCTGACAAGCATAGTACGTTAATGATAAGTGCATCACAGATGCATATTTGATGGTAATAATCTTGTTGCGCAAAGCAAATAACTTTTTAAGACGTTGAAAAATGCCTTAATCTGTCTCGCAATTGATAGTCTTCGTGTACTTACATCACGGGTAAAGTTAGTTGGATGTTATTAAAATCACATAATGTCGAGAACATTACACGAATGACATATATAATGGCGCGACGGCGTTTTCATTAAGAGACACGTTTATGTGTTTTGATGTTGAGTATTAATCGTCATAACGTTACTCGCATCAAAAACAGTTGTGTCTTCATCGTCTTCCTCATCCAGTGGTAGCGGTCGCATCTCGACATCTTGCCTGTGTGTGAGGACACCATATTTTCGAACCAGCTGAGCGCGTGTCTTACTTAACCTACCAATAAAATATAAATCTCATTAAATTATTAGTCATATACTAAATATCTACACTCTACATTCTTTGGAGTGGAATCTTATCCTGAAAAGTGAAATTTGAGCCAGTCTTGAAAAAGAGTGATACAATTTTCAATCTTTAAAAATGAGATTCTACTCTAAAATCAGAAATTCACTCTAAAAAGTTTTAGGGAGTATAATAATTATTTTTATTTATTATTGTCTAAAACATACCTAAAACTACGGAACACGATATAGGCCATGACAAGGATACTTAGTCCCACAAAGACTAAGAAACCACGTACAAGAGCACCAGTGTTGAAGGTGTGGCCCTCACTGGACTGTTCCATCAAAGTGCCATAATTAAAAATAATAGAGATATAATAAAATTAAATCGAAACAAAAATATAATTTAATAATATAATATATACAATTTGTAAAGCTCTATTTGCAGATTTAAATTTACGTAGTATTTCTAACAAATATCTGGCCAAATGTTTTTCAATATATTATAACAATGAAATGTACGAATTAACAAATATATTTATTTGACATATAACAAATATTAATGTCAATATCTGTCAATTATAAATCTATTAATATGGAAGAAAAATATACATATTTATATTTGTATTTAATTGATATATTCAATATGTACCAACAATGGATACATGACAATCATTAATATACATGGTTATTAGCATTAATGCTGCAATTATACACTAGAATTAAGATCGACTGCTTTAGTATACTCAAGATATAAATTATTCTAAGGTTTTTTTTCATGAATATCGATAAATTATAGTAAACGATACAAGAATTATTCCAGTATACAATAAGCTAATAATTAATTTTTTTCTACTTTTTTTTGACCTCATGATGCATTTTTCACAGTATTGCATATGCAAGACGCCTTTAATCTCGATAGAATGAAAACTAAATAAAATAAATAAATGATTTTTGTTCTCAAAGATGTTCATAAATTCGAAATAAGAGATATGTTAGTGTCAAATCAATGAGAACCAAAGGCTCCTTTTAACCCGTATAGCAAACTCTGTTTTACAGAAATTATATATGTGAATACATGAAGAGACAGGTCAAAAATACAGAATAAATTTTCTTAGAGACATCACAAAGAAAAATTTTCTAGTTTTTCGCCTTATCATGCGGGGTCGTTATCTTCCCGGATATACGTGTCGCACGCATAATTATGATAATCGGGGTTATTCAATTTATGTAAAAATAAAAATAAAATTGTAGTTGCCATAAGTAAGACCGAGGATGTAGTTCGAATATAACGAAGATACGAACCTCACTGGACGGGTCCACGATGTGCGCAGTTTTATTCGCGACGACGTTGTCTGACGGCAGCGGTTTCGAGGTTATGTCGTGCGTCTTGTTGCCGTCGGCCGGCGGTTTCTTCGCGTCAACGGGCGACCCGACCGCGTTCCTTTGACTATCCTTATCGCCAGGTTTCTCGTTCGTTCCCGCATTCTCGTCCGCGATAGGAACTACCTTGCCGTCCACACTCGTCAACGACGAGTTTCTCTTCTCCCGAAAAGTCCCGTCGCAGACTGCCGTCTGCGCCAGCAGGAAGATCAGCAGGAATATAAAGAACTTGAGTTTCTGGATCTTCGACCGCGTCATCGTGCCGTGTCATTTAAACGGCGGCGCGGCGACTGTAGCTTTTTCCCTCGCGGTTTATAACAACACGACAGTCCGACGTTCCAGCGCGTTCTCCATGTTGCTCGCCACGCCGCCCGGCGCGCACCACAACCAGACGTCTGTCCTCCTCGCCACGCTTCCTCACGCTTCCTCCCGGTCCCCGGACCAGCTGACACGCTATGGCCTTCGGACAGTTCCGTGTCGTCCTCGCGCGCGCGCGCGCGCGACGCCCCGCACATGTCGCGGAGCGTCGCGAGCATTACAGTGCATTAATCGCGCTCCGTTTCGCGCTAAAGGTTGTAAAAGGCGTTAAAAAAACTCGTCCAGACTTGCGACCGTGAACACGCGTGCTTAAATATATACGTGTATGTACGTGTGCGCGTCACGAACGATAACGACCAGGGTATCGATCGAATTGTAAAACTAGCAGCATACGATGTCTAATTTTTTGCTCGATATTGCTTATATTTTAGTAAATTATACTAGAAATTATGCGTTCTCTCTGTATGGTGCAATTCTAATAACAATTTACCAGAATGCAGGCAATCCAGCAAGAAAACATATGTATCGTCATGGATTTCAGCCTCCAAAAGATGGCTCAATAATCATGCAGCAAACGATTTTCCGAAGAGGACAATAAGGGACCAAAAGTCTCCTCAAGATTCATTAAAAACGTGCTGCTGGCTTTTACACTGCCATATTAATTTAATTTTTATTACACACTGTATATATACTTATTAATTAATTATAATAGGTAAATACTAAAATATTAATAGACCAAAGTTTCGTTATTATTTAATGGCCTATAATAAGCAATAACAGTTTTGAAAAAACGTTTTGACTTACTTAGTTCTCCTCAATTTAACTATATAGTATTTATTATAATACTAGTATTAATATACTAATAAATAATAAATTAATACAAGTATTGATAAATTTATTAAAACTAGCATTAATAAATACTGCAGTATTTATTAATATAATAAGGTAATCTAAAAAGAGTCTAATAATTTAGACTTATTTATTTTTATTTTCTTTTTTTTTATTTGTGTTTACAACACAAATATAGTTAATAATATCACTGTATATAATTATCATTTATTGTTACGTACATGGAAAGAATATATTTTTATTAATTTATTTTCGTACAATATATATTCATTTATGGTAAAATTTGGCAACACATTTCTTAGTCAATGTTACCTGGACCTTCAACAAGCTTAACGTTATTTGTCATCACATGCATTTACATTATGCTTGATTCTTTTTTCTTTTTTTGTTAATAAACGTTATAATTAATAGTTATCGTGTTAATAGTTAATAATGTGACCTCATTGACGATCGCCAACGCAGATAAAGTACTATCGTTGACGGAACCTCGTCGTTATTTTTAACCGGAGTCAAATCTAGGTGTGATAAAAGCTCGTGATAAGTTTCTTTGTAATCTTTTTATAAACTTTCTAAGAACAGAATTGACACTACAAGAAATAGTACTCTAAACCGAATCCTTTAATTTTTTTTTAATTATAATAATATTAATAGCTATTTGGGTTGTATATATTAATTGAGGTTTTCTTGTAGACTGTACATTAACAAATCCTATTTATTAATTTTAATATTTATTAATATATAACAGTGTAGGAAAAGAGACTAAATTAATATGCAGTAAAAGTCAGCAGCACATGATGCACATTTTTTTACAATTATAGTAGAATGGTTTTCTATTTCCTATTGTTAAAAGACATCCGTGAGAAATCGTCTCTTTCTTCCTTTTGACAGAATCGAGAACATTATTTCTTTAGAAAAGACTTAATTCTTTTAAATAAAATAAGTCAAAACATCAACAGTCGCTGCAGGTCATTTTGGGATTTGAAATTTTCACGTTTTCGTTCTATGTATAGCGACAAAGTTACATGGTTGATGCCCAATTATTGTTTGCTGATAAGCGTATCATTTGTTAAAAGAATATATATATATATTTGCCTAAAGAACATTGAAGTAGGTATTACTTTTGTCGTACGTTTTAAGTTTATAGATTGGCTGTAGGATAAAGAGAGATTCGACAACTTCTCTTTCTCACGCAGCCAATCAATAGGCTAGAAATGCTTTGTCGTGGGACAAATGTAATATTGTTATAATCTTATAAGAGAGGGACGTGACAAAGAACTTCATTATCCGAAAGACGTACATTTATATGACTTCTCGAGGACAAGATAGACTTTGTGTCCTGATTTATGATGTCTTATACATATATTATCCTCAACTTGTCTAAAAAATAAAAATAAAAGTTATTGATACCAAAACGCGTTGACATGAGAGAGAATACGAAGCAAAAACTAAAATTACCTGATGAATCGGTATATCAATAATACAATACTTACACATCTTCAATAATAACAATCTGTCAAAATATACATCAGATTTGTTGCCAGAAAAGTTGTGTAAATATTAAATCATTGATGTACCATAATTTATCAGGTAACTTCAACTTCTGCCTCGTAATTCTTCCTCTTGTCAAACGCGTTCCTATAGATAGCTTCGTGTAATTGCATATAGCTACACGACACTAATATACACATATACAATACAAAATACTGGATTGCCAGATTAATTGACATCCAATATTTTTATAGGTTACGTATATTTTTCCTCTCACAAAAGGATGAGACACGCGTTTTATCTTTACATATGGATACCTATTATATATTTTGTTTTCAAATTCTCTTTCCGTTTATCGCAAATGAGATATTTAATTATTATATCTTGTAAAATATTTCAGATAAGATATTTATGTATTTATATATAAGAATTGTAAATCATCTCTGAAATTGTGAAACGCTTTCGCTTCTTCTTCTTTTACTTCCTTCGCGCATAAACAATCGGCATGAGCTTACTCTTTGGTTCCAAGAATACGCATTCGTATTTGTGGAGTAACATCGAAACACGCGTGGACTGGACGATCAATTCACCAATGGAGGCGAGGCAATTTGACGCGTGGTACGCACCTGTGTGCGCCGCATAATTCGCGGGATGCAGTGCGGGATTTACATCTGTCGTGGTCCCAAGCTGAAGCTGCGAATCCAAGCTTCCATCGAATAATAACAATTGCTATATAGGCTGCGTTCCGTTGCACGCATAATGCGTATGCCTGATGCGCATTATATGCATGCAATGAAACGCACACACAGCCATAGATTAACTTTAATTTTAGTTTAATTCATTCTTTATCTTTTTTCCTTGTTTCTTAAAACTAAAAAAGTAGATACGTTAATTTAATTTTTAATATACCAATAATTTATTGGTATATAGAAATGGCTATTATACATATATATAGGATAACTTGGCTAAATCCCAATCAAAACATTATTGGCTATTAAAGTTGTTCCATTAGCAGTGTTGAAAATGATTATTTTTTAATACAATATATGTATATATTACTCTTTCGTAATAAAAGCACTTAATGTAATTTAGTAACACAAATAATTAACAATAATATAAAGCGATTATTAGAGGGATATCAATAAATCAAATTTTAAATAAGAATAACTTAATATTCGAAATAGATCTTAATATGCTTAATTACATATTTCTTATATTATATTGTATAATTAAAAAAAATATATATATATATATTTAAGCACTAAGATTTGCTTCGGCCGAATATTCTTCTTATTTAAAATTACATAAATAATAAAAACTTTTCATATATATTTTGTTGGATTCATTTTATCCATCCTTAAAAATTATATATATATATCTATCTTAATTATCTACATTAGAATTCTTCCATTTCAAGCAACGCGAATATAAGTACCTTATATTTCTCTTTTATTATATGTTACATGAGTTTATAACATCAAATTCTGATGAAATCAAGGATGAAATGAAATTTAATTCGCTTCTCTGCCTTCGAAGACTCGTAATAATATTCTCATTTTTCACGAATTGTGCAGACAATCGGCAATTATTTTCCTCCTTATTCTTTCTACGTTGTTCCTCAGCCCTTTTCCCAAACTCTGACATGACCGAAATACTTTCTCGCGAGTTGAAACCATGGGCGAATCGACGGGCGAATCCAGCCCTGCTACACGTATATACACATTCATGCGTGTGATACGAGCGGACAGTGGTGAGAGACAGAGAGAGCCAGGAGAGGCCGCCCGCGCCGCGATAGTTGAGGCTGGTTGGGGCAAGCGTGTACGACTCGACGTGAGTGAGTTCGCGCGTTTGCGAGGAAGTCGCGATCGCGAGTTTGGTGCGTGCACACATCGGCTCGCGTACATATAAATATATGTATATATACATGCCCGTCTCGGCTGTGAACGGCGCGCCCGCGGCTGCGATCGGCGACAGGTCAAACGGTGTGGCAACGGATGGCTCGCGACTCTGGTCGATCGGCTGGCTGAACATGATGCGCGCCTGCGACGACACGTCCGATGTACGATTGGAGAAGTTCCGCGCGGCGACAAGCGACGCCGTCGCGACGGAGTCGGGGAATGGGGACGCGAACGCGACGCAGGAGATGGCGACGTCGAGGAAGTGCGAGGGACAGCTGTCTATGCTGTGCGCGGCGAACAGCTGTTCGTCCTGCATACCTGCGTGCCGTATGTCAGAAATGGCGCAGGAGGACCACGGCCCGTCCTGGGACAACCTGCCTGCCGTTATCTTGCAGGAGATATTCTCGTATTTGTCGCACGAGACCAGAATAAGAGCCTCCCAGGTATATGGAATGTAAAAGAGAGAGTGTGCGTGCGTGCCGCAAGCGTGTGGCTGTGTATGTACGCGCGAGCCTTGTGCCTCATGTTTTCCTTTTCTTCACGATCGTTTGCGCTGTAAACTGACCTGACATTGTGTCGCGACGATAAAGCCATCGCGTCATTTGTAAGAATATTTCTTGTACGGCGGAATGTATACTAATGAGAATCCGCTATCTGCTTCTCGTCTGACATATACGCTTGCTCAACCGTTATTTGCATGAGTAAAAGTTTACGAACGTTATCATACATGTATATACGTGTGTGCGAGGAGAAAGGGAATCGCTACTCTTTGTATACGTATACTCTGTTCTGCATTATTTTATCAAGCAACAAAACAGTATATTGAATATATTGACGCTGAAATGCCAACGATCATTTACAGCGATAAACCTTGTTCGACATGATAGAGATTAGATCATCAATGATATGAAAAATTGTCAAGTTAATGCACGTGATGTTTCAGTAAACAATATCTTATACTACAAATGTAGTAAAAATGATCGTTGGATAATTCCATGTGTTATCTTTGTTATATCAATAGACTTAGGTATTCTTTTAACTAGACTTGCAAGGTCTATCTTTTCTCCTTTTTCCTCCAATATGGAGAAAAGAAGGAAAAAGATGAATCATGCAAAAAAAAAAGAATGTAAATATGGATTAATATTTATGTATATTTACTTATAAAAAATTATGTTTGATTAATGTAAAATTTGTTCAGTGGACTTATTATTCAATTTTCATAGGTATGCAAAAATTGGAGATACACTTTGTTCCACCCAAACTTCTGGAAAAAAATCATTTTTGTGTTCAGAGATAAAGACAGCATTTTATGGACTCGGTTCGTAAGACTTACCATCTGTTTGTAGATTCATTAAGTAATGCACAGTACACATAGCATGTTTGTTATAGATTCTTGGCAAATCGTTTTGCTCTGAGTGTACACGAGGCTACGATTCGTTGGGATATATCTAGAAACATCAATTGCCTAGGAGAGACGTACAGGCTCTTGCAGAAATTAAGTCACAATAGACAATTGAGAAAATTGTTCTTGGAATTCAATAGTAATATTTGTGATTCTTTTGACAACGAGGGTGACAGGTATTAATCTTACTTAGTGTACAAATCAACTTGTTATATTTAATAAATAAATAATAAAGTTGGATTATTTGTATTTTAGTAATTACAAAAGTTCCGCATCAGTACAATGTGTGATAAATATTATTGAGACTTCTAATTGTCTGGAAGCCCTGAGTCTGGGTTGCAGGGAAGAATTGATTATGAATTTATTTGCAATTGTGGAACCTCTCCGTCTTCATCACTCCAAACATTTAACACACCTCAGTCTAGCATCTGTCAAGAACGATCCTGACTATTATGACTTCTTTGAATTTGATAACACTATTTTTAATTCGTTTATCAGATTATCTATCTTAACTTTAGATTATGAGTATGTCAGTGATACTTTGTTGGCAGCGTTAGATAATGGATGTATGCAAAGACTTGTAATTCATATACATGGCTGGAAACAGGATTATCCAGGAACAACAAATTTGGCTTGGCAAATGTTTGTTCAAAAAAAGTGAGTTAATATAATTGTCATACCAGTCATATTTAAAATTATTTTGATTATTAATAAGAGAGAGAAGGAGAGAGAGAGAGAGAGAGAGAGAGAGAGAGAGAGAGAGAGAGAGAGAGAGAGAAACTAAAAAAGAACTTACATAAGTATTTATTTATTTGCAGCCCACATTGTGAATTAAGGCTCAATCTTATACATTCTTATGCCGGCGTTAAGGTTTTGGATACTGATATATTATGTGCTGCTATGCCACTGACACACTTACAAGTTCTATTCTGTGAGAACATTAATATCAGAGCATTACATCGAATATCAATGTGGTACGCAAATACATTGAAATCATTGACATGGATAGACTCAATAGATCACAAGCAGCATATACCATCTACATTTGATCCAAATGATCCACACAGGTAAGAAAATTCTCTGACTTAATACATTCTCCTTTGATGAGAGAGTATAATTTGTATATAATTTCATTATAGTCCAGATCCTTTGGTGTTAGTGGCATGGAAATGTAATAAACTCATGAAGATGGTGTTCCTGGGTCATAAATATTATCAAGAGAATCTGTTGGCCATCGCGCGTCTCAGAGGCAACACTCTTAAATTATTGGTATTTGCAAAAAATGATATCACATCTGAAGTTAAACTGTGTCGAAACTTCGAAGATGAAAATATCAAACGTGTGAGTATACAACAATTTTGGCAAATGTCTTCTATATTTTCTGGGTTTTTTTATGTAAGAAATTAGTTGTTGCATTTGTACGATTAAGAAATTAACGATTACAAAACCGAGTGATCTTAAAAATATTAAATGTTTTAATATTTAGGAAATTCGAGATATAATGGGTCCACATTGGATGCCCTTGAATGACTCAGATTTGCCAATGGTGATATTCGATCCTTTCAAAGGCGACAGTAGAGAAGTGATTATACCGTTGGTTCTCAGTGATCAGAAATAATTTTTGACAGAAGTCAAGGAAAATCTCTATCCAGTGTGATTATCCAAAAACCATCTCCGGGCCATCAACATTCTCAGAAGTAATGTTATCAGATTACATCTTTTATTCTTCTACAAGATTTTTTTCACAAGGGTGAAACATCGAACAGCGAATACGCAGTATAAGTTCGAAATCTCGTTGTCAATAGCGTTATCGTTTTCCGAGTTGGGAATTCTGGGTGCAATGTGTGAGAGATACAAAGAGATAAACGCACACATAACTTTCTCCTCGTTTACAATACTTCTATCGGTTATTATATGAATGTGATAAATTGTAGTCAAACTAGATCTACTTTCGACTTGTTAATGATATATATAGTGCAAATTACAACACATTTGCAAATAATGAGATGACCTCTTCAACTAAGAGATTATCTCTTCGGAATGATGTGAAATATGCACTATAGTTTTCTTCTTATGGAATACCATGAGTCGCACTTTGATGTTAACAAAGTGACTTTAGGAGGGTGATCACGAATGTACATTACCGCAATAAGTGCGACGTGTAAATGTATATCGTTCCTCTCGCCTATTAAGTCGATATTGCCAGAAGAAGCCAGAGTACATTTTATATAACTACATTTATTATTCTGGTCAAAGAGAGCGGCACATTAGAACGACGTAGCTGAGAATGAGATTGCAATGTAAGAAGATTGTCGTGAATCTTGTAAGAGATGTATCATACAAAGCGGAGCTGGAGCAAAAGAATACGACTTATCCAACAGAAAAAGGGAAACTATGCAACACATAGGAGAAAGAAAGAGAGAGAGAGAGAGAGAGAGAGGTTCGGATCTCGTGATCTTCCACTGGAAAGAATAACAAAATTCCACAAACGTATGTAAGTAGAAATGCGTTTAACAACATATTTTTCCAATTCTCTGGGAAGTTAGGTGATAGCGAGCGCCAAGAGCATGACGTGCGAGAGTAAATATCTAGTAAGACTTCGCGAAGAGTTCGTCGAAATGAGCGGCGCGGGAGCATAAAGAGTCTCGAAGACAAAGAGAAAGTAGAAAGAGAGCACGAAGTCAATACAGCGATCCGAGGTTATTTTTAATACCAAGACCAATCGGACGCTTTTGTACAAATGTTAACATAGCGCGCATTGGAAAGAGCGCGATCCGCTCGACGAAGTACGTAGAACGCAGTTGCGAGCGAAAATGAAATGAAAAAAAAAAACGATCGCTATATATATCCACACACCTGTTTACGTATAACTTTCGATAGGTGATAATGAGTAGCGATTGAACGATTAACGCAAATATATGTATAACCGTCTATACTCATCGTGCTCTTAGCGACCGCTGATGACGAACACACGAATGTAGGTATATCTGTAAAATCGGAGTTATTAACCGCTAATCGTATATGTATGTATATGTATGTATAACTGTATTATCTATCGAACTTTAAACACGTCAACATCCGGACGCAGCATCTATTTCTGTCGTGCGATTAACAGTGACGATTCTGAGAGCGTGTTTAAAAGAGAGAAAGGCAGCGAGAGAGAAAAAGAATGAAAGAGAGAGAGAGAGAGAGAGAGAGAGAGAGAGAGAGCGCTATTCGTAACAAAGATAAAATACCAAAATGCAACCGTATATGCCGTATATACACACAGTTTACTATTCCGAGAGGTTCTTTACTTTTTTCGAGCCCTTGTATAATTATATTACATTATCGTGTATCGTAACTTATAGTCACACGTGTATTAATATTGGTTTTTATATGTGGTTTCTGTACATATATCTCTCCATACGTTCGAGACACTGGATACACGCGCGAACGACGCGGAGATGCGTGCGGAAAAACTATACAAGGAAGAAGGGAGAGATAAGGGAAGCACAAATTGAAGGGAGGAGATGAAAATACGAGGTGGAGAAAAAGCGTTTCTTTTCGACGTACGACCAGCTGTTATACAAGATGAACGGGCCTTAATATGTACCTGAGTCGCGGATAAGGGTAAATTCACAAATGAGAAAATCTGTCGCGCGACATCCACCATAGAGAGATAACCAGATTAAACACCTTAGAATGGCCGCCGTCCTCGTGAATGTGCGGTACGCCATGTGCACACGCGCCCACGTTCGCCAGGATCCACGGCCATGAACTTAAGGTATATCACGCTCGTGCCCTTTCATTTCGTATTCCGCGCGTGTATATTTTTACATCAGATGAAAGAAAGGGGAGAAGTCCAACGCGAAACGAGAGGATCCGACCGAGGGATGGGTTTCCCTTTCCAAAAGTCATAACTATTACCGTACGAACGCGAGCGAAATCGATTAAAGCTCGTCCGCTGACCGCCGATACCATGCGGACGGGGTAAAGACTTTACCAAGTAATTTTACGTTTCTTCTCGTTTTTCTTTCAACGGAAATTTCGCGTGAAGAAAAAAAGAAAGAAAAACTGTATTCGGGGACGCGGTGTCCAGCGTGTGAGTGTGATAAATGAGCGAGAGAGAGAGAGAGAGAGAGAGAGAGAGAAAGCGAGAGTAAAGTGTGAGAATAAAAATCATGCGACAATTATGCGAGAACAATTTTAATAGCATCATGCGAGTAGAGGAAGAACGAAAAGAAAATTATTCGAGAGCGCGGAGCGTGATGATACGCGTTTTGAATAACAGATATCCGCGATTCGTAGAAACAAATCAAGTGATAAGGTAGTACCATCTCTGCGAGTCCTCTGTAATAAAGTAATATCGTGTGTAGAAAGGCGGTCGTGCAGCCGCTCGACACGGGCACAACGCAACTATGTAACCACGTGTCGCTAGCATGATAACGACAAAACCACAAGCATAAGACTGAACCTGCCGAAAGAGGTGTATACAAGTCGAGCGGGCTGCACGCTGCCGCAGCGCGTTGCCATATTCATAAGAGGAGGCAGGATGCGGAAAGCACATCCGGTCGAAAAAAAAGAAAAATTGTCGCCGTTCCGAATTGAACGCGGTAACCGTCTTTCCTCACGGTGTTTTCTCCACTGCGCTTTAAACGCGGCTTTCCTTCCACGTTGCTTTCCACCTCGGCCTGGTCTAAATCGCTTCGCCGTTGCGATCGAGCGGATGCGAACGTATTTATGAATATGCGCGTCGCGAAAGCGAAATAAAACAAAGGGATGGTGCACAAGCTAGCGTTTAGATCGGAATAAGCCCTGAGAGAGCTCACTCGACGGCGGTTCTCGTTCAGAAGCCGATATTATAAACTAAACCCTTAAAGCAGCCTGCCAAGAATCAAAATACTGTAAAATATCAAACGAACGCTAGCCAGTACAGAATGCTAAGATCTATTTTTTAAGAAGCGAATGTATATTTTTGTACTAAGGCAGGCCTTAGCGTGTGATCGTGTCTTCTTGCACATAAATGGCGAGACGAGAGCTGTGATTGTAACACGTGTTGACTATACAAGACACAGGGAGAAAGAGAGAGAGAGAGAGAGAGAGAGAGAAATCAACACGGGAAATGTATATTAAAGCGTAATCGTGCACAGTATGCGAACAACACGGGAAACACGACATTAGGATCCCTCATTGATTGTTACCGAGTGAGCTGTAGGCATAGAAAGGGCGTTATAAAATCGAGAATAAAACATCTGTGATAAAGTAGAAAATCTTACAAGCGTGTTCGAGAGTGGATGAAGATCGGCGAGTGTCGGTAGAAGGTAGGGGAAACAAAATCGGGAGAAAAGAAAGAAAGAGAGGGCTGTGGAGGACCGGAAATCCACGCGCGGGCATTCATGAAACTTGTATGCGCAAGACAGCGATTTCTTCGAGACATAAAAAGGGAGTCCAATGACCCTGACGCTCCGAAAAGTTTGTCGTGCATATGATCGATTGGTAGCAGCAGATCGAAAGAAAAAATGAGAGTGTGAAAGAGAGAAAGTGAGAGTGAAAGAGAGAGAGAGAGAGAGAGACTGTCTTTCGACAAGATAGCCCGGTCTAACTAGCAGACGACGACGACAACGACCCGATCAAGCTCAATCGCGCGCTTTACGTGGGTTTGCACGTTTATTTTTCTTTTTTTCTTCTCGGCCAGAACTGGAGCGATCAGGCATATGCACTTCCCGCCAAGGAGCCGTGGTACTCTTATCGGAAGTCTGGTATACAGCGTAGTGTATATTTCCCCGCATGATTCTCGTCATTTAACGTCGTACAAGTACCATGGCTCTAAAGCGGAATCACGGCCAGCGCGAAGAGTTTTCTTGTTGCTCTGTCTACGACATTCCACGATGAGAAGCGAGGATCGGGGACACGCGCGACCGCTCCGTCGACTTCTAAACGAACAACGTTGGTCTTCTCGACTCACCTCAAGCTAGAGAATCTTTACGCTGCAGCGGCTAGCGTTCCTCCTTCGATTATAATCAGCCGCTGGTGGCGAAGCGCGCGCATTTAGGTAAATTATAATAAAGAAAAAGAAAAGGGATAAAAAAGAGCGTTAAGTTATCGTCGACTGAAAGCAAGATCGCACAAGATTATCGAGGTATAGCCGGAGTATGTATATGTATGTATATAGTTTGATTTTGACACGGATACGCGACACGTAAACGCAATTTTGTTGAACCCGCGCGAACGAAACAGTCGCCGTCGGGTCAGTCGTAGGCGGCCACGAGTAGTATTATAAGTTCCTAAAAAGAAAATACTTTACACACTTTAAGCGATAGAACGAAGAGAGGGCCGGCATACGAATACACACACCCGTGCACGAACAAGAAAGGGAGCATTCAGTTCGACGTAGATTTGTTCGTTCACTCGCTCGTTCGTTCATTCGTTGATTCGTTTTCGGCGCTTTCCAATACTTTTGGACATGGCACGAGTAACGTCGTCATAATTTAATCAAGTACGAGTACATGTAATCCATTCCAGTCGACGGGAATGAGCGTGATGTAATGTCGCGAGGAAGATCGGAGACAGGCAGTGCGAATCGTCGAAAAAAAAAAAAATCAGATCCGAGAGAAGCCGCCAAGTATTGATTAGTATCGATTTGATCTTGTACGAGTTGCGCGTGTCTTGTTTTGATAATTGCCAAGAGCGTGTTCGATAGACTTATAAACTTATTCCCAAAAAACGCGACGATCTTGTTAATTCTTAAGAGGCACGAACGAACTTAATCTAACTAT